AAAGAGAGAGAGAGAAAGTGAGAAAGCAAGCTCCCAAGTCCGGAACGCAAATCAAATGGGAATTGAGTGGTGCCTTAATCACCACGCCACCTGCTGGCCCCAAAGAGTACTTTTTTCTTCTTTTTTTGATTTTTTTTTTTTTTTTTTTTTGCTACAGGACGCATGCACTTGCTCACCTGAGAGACAGAGAGAGAAAGTGACAAATTATCCCTCACGGGGATGGCCACACTGCAAACCCTTTTCCTCCATTCTCCTCTTTGGATTTTGGGCATGCACACACATGTGCCTAGCATGTTTCAAGCCACCGGGTCCAAGACTTGAACCACAGTCAGTCATGGGGGAGTCCAGCACTTTAACCACTACACCACCTCCTGGCCCCCAAAGAGCACATTTTTTTCTTTTTTCAAAGAATTATTCATTTTTAATTTTATTTATTTACTATCATTATTATTTTTATTTTTAATTTTTTTGGAGAAGTTTCTTTTGCTATAGGGCACATGTGCTCTCCAGAAAGACAGAGAGAGACAGACTGACAGAAAGCGAGAAATCACCCCTCAGGGGGGATGGCCATGCTGCAATTCCTTCTCCTCCATTCTCCTCTTGGGATCTCGGGCACATACGCACACGCTCCTGGCGTGAATTTAAGCCACTGGGTCCGGGACTCGAACCGCAATCAACTATATGGGAGTTCAGTGACATAGCCATTATGCTAACTGCTGGTCCCACTATCATTTTTTTTTTTTCACCCCCCAGAGAGAGCAGGGGAAAGTGAGAAAGAAAGGCACCAAGACTGGGACTCAAAACAGTCAGATATGTAGGAATCCAGCACCTTAACTACCATGCCACTTACAAGCCCCAAAGAGCTTTTTTTTTTTAGAATTATTTTATTTAACTTTATTTTTAATTTGGCCAGAGCTGGACGAAGGGTCGGTGTGGGGGGAGACGGAAAGTGAAAAAGCAAGCCACTAGGTCTGGGACTCAAGCTGTGGTTGGCCACGTGGGAGTCTAGCACTCCTAACTACCACACCACCTGCCGGCCCCCCAAAGAGCACTTTTAATACCCATTTTATAACTGAGGCACAGAGAGTTCAAGCGAATTGCCAAAAATCACACAGCTAATATGAGATAGAATCAAGATTTAAGCATAGCTGTCAGGCCCTAGAGTCCATATTATACTGTCTAAATTTTTATCTAATTATTTTTAAAATAAATGTGCTGGACACCCACATGGCCAGCCATAGTTTGAGTCTCAGACCTGGTGGCTTGCTTTCTCACTCTTTCTCTCTCAGTTCCTGTCTGGTCAAAGTAAAATAAATAAATAAATACAGTTAATTTTTTTGTTTTGAGAGGTTTTTGCTACAGGACGTGTGCACTTGCCAGAAAGACAGAGAGAGACAGAGAGACAGAAAGCGAGAAATCACCCCCCAGGGGAGATGGCCACACCACAATCCCATCTCCTCCATTCTCCTCTCGGCATCTTGGGCTCGCATGCACAGGTGCCCGGCGTGAGTTTAAGTCACCGGATCTGGGACTCGAACCGCAGTCTTCTACATGGGAGTCCAGCGACATAGCCATTATGCTAACTGCTGGTCTCAATAAAATAATTCTTAAAAAGAGAGAGAGAGAAAGCCACTAGGTGCAGGACTTGAACTGTGGCTGACTATGTGGGAGCCCAGCATCCTTAACCACCACGCCACCTGCTGGCCTCTTTATCTAAATTTCTTAGGAGTTTTTTTCCCTGTCTTTCTCTCTCTCTCTCTCTTTTTTTTTTTTGTTCTCCCTCTCTCTCTCTTTTTTTTTTTTTTTTTTTTGCTATAGGGTACGTGCACTCACTAGAGAGAGACAGAAACAGTGAGGGAAAGTGAGAAATTACCCTCTGGACACACAGACATTACTGGTGTGATTTTCAACTCACTGGGTCCAGGATTTGAACCATGATCGACCACGTAGGAGTCCAGTGCCTTAACCATCATGCCACCTGCCAACCCCTACTTCTTTTATTTTTCAGTTTGCTGTAGGCTGCGTACACTCACTAAAGAGAAAGAGAGACGACGCTCCCCCCAGAAGGGATGGCCATGCTACAATCTTTTCTCCTCCATTCTCCTCTCAGGATTTCGGGGACACACACACACACACACACTCACGCCCAGCACATTTCTCACGCCTCTGGGTCCGGGACTTGAGCTGTGCAGTTGGCCACATGGGATCCAGCTGCTTTAACCACGTCACTGGCTGGCCCCAGAATCTATATTCTAAACACACTATCCCAGCTCTCTGACAATAGCAGCAGTGTGCGTGAGCTCTGAGAAACTGATCTTCTATGTGTTCATCAAAGGAGCTCAGGCAGCAGGTGGAGTCTCCACAGGGCTAGTCCAACCACTATTCCAGGGAATTTAGCACTTTTACCAGCCCCAGAGCCCTGAACGCTGAGCTGTAGTGAAATCCAGGAAGAAGTTCTCACCACTGCACTGACCTTCCTCAATTTTCCTCCTAACCTGACGTTCATTCTCTTCTCAGATCTCAAGGTCCAAGCACACAGTTGAACCAGGGTCACCCAGACCTGGCCGGTTTTCACTCCTGCCTCCCCCTCCGTAGCTCCTCAGAATGTACTCTCAACTGCAGTCAAACCAGACTGTGGTAATTTCCTAGACATCCCATTTTCCTGTATCCATGCTTCTCATTTTTTTTTTTTTATATAGGCCAGATGTACTTGCTGGAGACAGGAAGAGACAGAGTGCGTGCGCAAAAGTGAGAAGTCACCCCTTAGGGGAATAAGCCACGTTATAATCCCTTTTCCTCCAGTCTCCTCTTGGGATTATTTTTTTATTTTTTGAGAGGTTTTAGCTATAGGGCGCGTGCACTCACCAAACAGACAGAGAGAGACAGAGAGACAGAAAGCAAGAAATCACCCCCCAGGGGGGGTGGCCACGCCACCATCCCTTCTCCTCTGTTCTCCTCTCAGGATCTTGGGCACACACGCACACGCGCCTGGCATGAGTTTTAAGCCACCGGGTCCGGGACGCGAACCACGGGTCGACTATGTGGGAGTCCAGCGACATAGCCATTACACTAACTGCTGGCCCCTCCTCTTGGGATCTTGAGCCCACGCGCACACACACACATACACACACACACACACCCAGCATGGTTTTCAAGCCACCAGGTCCAGGACTTGCACAGCAGAGTCGGCCATGTGGGATCCAGTGCTCCAAACACCAGGCCAGCTGCTGGCCCCATTCTTCTATTCTTGCTGCTCCTTCTACTTGAACCGTCCTTTCACTAAACTGTATCTCAGATGCCATCTTCTCCATGGAGACTTTCCTAATAACACATCCATAGGATCTCCCCTGGCTGCTGCTCTGCTGCTTCTTAAGAATTCTTTTCCTGGGAACCAGCAGTTAGCGTAATGGCTATGTCGCTGGACTCCCATGTAGTCGGGTCGCATTCCGGACCCGGTGGCTTAAAACTCATGTCGTGTGCGTGCGGGCGCGTGTGCGTGCGTGCCCAAGATCCCAAGCGGAGAATGGAGGAGAAGGGATTGCGCCCTGGGGGGTGCTTTCTTGCTTTCTGTCTCTATGTCTCTCTCTGTCTGGCGAGCGCACGCGCCCTATAGCGAAAACCTCTCCAAAAAAAAAAAAAAAGGATTCTTTTCTTTAACTTTATTTATTTATTTTAATTTGACCAGAGAGGGACAGAGCGAATGAGAGAGAGAGGGAAAGTGAGAAAGCAAGCAGCCAGGTCCAGGACTGGAACCACAGTCGGCATTTGGGAGTCCAGCATCCTTAACCACCACACCACTTGCCCCTCCACACACTTGTTACTATACTTGCTGCTTAATATTACCATCAGCGTGTCCCTGTCCCCCACCCCCATGGTTAGGGGCAGGGTTTACTCATCTTCACCGTGGAACCCAGCCCAGCGCCTGTTCCTGGTGAATACTCCGTAAATGCTCAGGAGTTAGGGTTGTAGGTGGAAGGCAGACAGACCTCAGGAACCTTCGATCTCTGCCCAGGGTAACCCCCACTTCCTTTACCACCTCGACCAAGAGCTATCTTGAAATCTGACCATGTGGGTTTCAGCAGGTTCTGGGATGGACCTTTCTGGGCAGCTCTGACCAATGCTCTCATTTCGGGTTCAGAAACCCAAAGAGGCTTCCTCCTCCACTGAACCAAGGCCAGCCGACCTCGAGTTGGTCCTATCCAGAATCCTGCCCTGCGGCAAGTCCCGCCCAGAGTCTCTCTGGGTGCTGTCGGGGACTGACATCAACATCTTTGGAGCTGGGCAACCCATTTTTCGAGACCCCTCCTTCTTGGGAGCTCTGTTCTTCCTTCCCTCTCCTTCAATAAACTCCCCGCTTCGCTATATAAAACAAACAAACAAACAAACAAAAAACCACAGCTTTGTAGAGAAGGTAAACCCACGTGGTTTGAGAGGAGGGCTAGTGACCTGAACGCGGAGCGGGAGTTGGAGTCTGCGGGAGCGGCGCGAGTGGGGGCAGAGGCGGGGCCGGGGGCACAGCCTGGACCAGCGACT